CCGCCACCATAAACAGCGAGGTCAGGGAAACGGTGGTCTTGAGAAAGGCGCCGTGGAACTTCGTCAGCTCCGTGTCGACGCGGTCCAGCACCATTCCCCGCGAAAGGCGCTTTTCGGCGATCGAGAGCGCCGTCGTGGTGGACATCGTGAAGGGGATAATCGTCGGCGCGTGCGGCATCTTCTCCAGCTCCTTCATCAGCTCAAACCGAGAGATCAGCATCGAGGGGACGTGGGACCCTGTCACGCAGCGCTCCACCACTCGCATCGGCTCCAAGTAGGAGGCCGAGATTTGATTCACCGGCATGTACTCCTCAAAGGGGTAGCTGAACTCGTAGAGCGGGCCTTCCACCCACACAAAGCAATGCTGTTGGGTCATAAAGGAGGGATCACGCTGGAGAATATCCGCCTTGAAGGTCCCTGACGCGGCTGTCTTTAGAAGCCAAAAGGGAAGCAGGTATCGCTGCACCTGATGGATCTCCACGGTCGTGCCGTGATAGCGGCAGATGTTATCGAACGCCTTCGCATCGGATATTTGGAAGGGGATCCCGAACAATTTTCGGTCAAGAACGGTCTTACTTTGGTCTAGTTGGGTAATGCGAGTGGCAAATGCCGATACCGCCTTTTCTTCGGTTCCCTCATGCTGATCCTTGAACGATGTACTTAAATTTCGACGAGATGCATATAGAAAAGAAGCCTCTGTACATTTCGTGCTAATATTTGATATTGGTCTTGAAAGTGTTAACCTAGTCAGATTAGCTGGACACATTGAAGCTCCAAAATGTTATAATGGGGATTCTATAAGGAAGGAAGATTTGGAAAGGGTGCACAACATATTAAGATGTTTTATTTTGTATCAGTGGACATATGAATTGAATACCCGGTCATGGAAAACGCGTTTCATGAAGTTGATTGGACTTCAATAAATCACCAATAATTTGGTAAGGGAATAAGAAAAGCAGCACTAATAATACATGCATATTTCGATAAAAATGGGTTGTCAAGCATACCAAGAATAGTGTATGCACATACCGCACAATCTACATATCTGACGCATTCGTAACGTTAAAATCTACTCTTTTTCCGCCTGTCAACGGAATGTGAGAAAACTCAGCAAGAATAAGGGTGGTTCCGGTGTGGAAGGTGTTGAGCTGATTAATACAAACAACAATAAAAGCAGCTACCTTGCGTGAGAGAGGTACCAGTGGGTTCGGGCACCAGTAATGGGCTATCAACGAAAAACTCTCGAGAAATATCGTAAAAGTCACTTGATTTGCTTTTAGGTCAACATAATAGGACTGCAAACCATGCAGCATTTCGAGTACCTTGTTAGAAGAGATAAAGCGTTGCGGTGAATTTTCGTTACCAATATTGTTATGGGCATTATTCGGCAAATTAATACCATCGGATAAAAAACCGCAGTCTTCTAGGATCCGTAAGAAAAATGAGGTGGTAAGCAGCGTGCCAAAACGGCCACCGTTTTGTACGGCCATATTCCGCTCACTGATTATGTTGGAAGTCTCTTGTCTTTTGAGGTAGAAGAAGAAAATACGACACAGGTCGGTGGAGAAAAATTCAATGACCCGTTGTGTATCGTACTCATAGAATTCTTCGAGGACCGAGGGTAAGTCACCTTTTCTGGGAAATCGCATCTGCGTAAAGAAGCTGCTAAATTTTTCTTCGATTCCGTGCTCAATCCCATATTTTTCAGAAATCATCCATACAAGCAATTCGATAAATTGTTCAGGGGTTACATAACGAATATCCATTTCCTGTCGAGCCACCCGAATGAGGGCTTTTCGGTCTAAATCTAGTTTCCTTTTGTTATTGGGATTTAATACACTTACCAGTTGCGGGGAGACGACTCGGTCGAAGATATCCGAAACCATCTCTTTGGTTAAGCTATCCGACAGTAACGTGCTGAACTCGATAAATCGCCAAAAACTGAACTCCGCCATAGTTCGCGTGCTTTTGCTGGCATAAACATGAAAAAGCCGAGAGGTCTGAAGGGACCGAGTCTTGAGGGCAGCTTCGAGAGACTCGATAATCGCCTCGACTCGGATTTGAATATTATTGCTGAGGAGAATTTCGCGAAAGTTTTTGGGATTAAGAGACCAAAAAAGCCCTGCATTACTTTTACTGAGGTGGGTCAATAACACACCGTTATTTCTTTCTCGTTCGAGATAGCTTCGCGTCTCCGATATCGCCATTTTGTGGGTCACCAACTCCTGCTCGTAGTGGTTCTGAACTGTGATCTGGTTTTGTAGTTCCTTTAGTTGATCCTCACTTTGTTGGACGAGTTTGTTAAATTCCGAAAAATCAGTCACGTCCACTGGTATTTCCGGTTCTTTCTCTACTATTCCTTCTTTGAGAACGATTGAAGCCTTCGAGGTACTTTCCCTCCATTTATCATCGATATATCGCTCGTAGATCTCGCATAGAGACTCCATGATGCGATCCTCACGCATATTGATAAAGTCCTCAGGTTCCAATATAGTGGTCAACTTGTATTCTTCGCACAATTTCTTGATTTCCTGAAAACGTTCCATCGTCGCCATGCGACGATTAAGCAACTCGGGGGATTTTTCAAACACATAATTGAGCAGGATGTAGAACACTTCCCCGGAGGCGAAGTCCCCATTGCGCGTCTCCGTCGTTTTCGTCGGACTTCCTTTAATTTCTTTCAAAATGGAATTATACCAACGGGGTAGTAATTTCCAAGTATCCGTCTGATCCAGCGGGTCGTCCGGATCCGCAGAGTCCAATTCGTCCGCGTTTTCCCGATTGGGCCGGGAGGCAGATGACAGTTGATACGACAGTGGCTGACGGGAGGTGCGAATAAGCAGGGATGAAAAGCGAGAATACATCGACACCAGCCGGAAGGTGTCCCGCGCCCCACTTGCCAACTTTTCCTTGTACATGTCCTCGCGGCTTGCCATTTCCTCTTTGAGGCTTTCCACCTGCTCTTGGAGCTCCTTGTTTTCATACTTCGCCTCTTCAAGGTTTCTCTTGGCGTCTTTGGTGATTTGAATGAGCCGATCGGCACGGCAGCACTGGAGCTGAAACTGATTTTTGGCATTTTCTAATTGAAAGGCCGATTCGTGGAGGCGTTCCATGAGAAACGTATTCCGGGACATCTCCAATATAAGCTTCCACTGATAAAAGGCCACCGAAAGCAAAAGGCGCGATTGCTTTGAGAGGAAGCGCTTCATTTTATTTCGATTGGTGATCTCTAAAAGACGTTTCTGTCGGGTTAACATACGCCATGTGCGAAAGATCGTTCGTAGGGCATACTGCCATCGATCTTTAATCATCCGTAAGATGCAATTTCCCCGTCGATTATTCGACTTCAGGGCATGGTCCAGGCTCAAATTCATTTCAGCCACTTTCCGTTCATTCAACTCCACCTCTTCAGTGAACATCGTGTGGGAAAAGAAAGGGTTCCACTTCACTAAATACTCATCCCCCAATTGGACATTTATGCTGTGAGACACCTTTGCCAAGGAATTGGAATTGTAGTGATAATATACAACAGGTAAAATGGCCTCTAAAATAAACCTCAGCGGACCATTAGGGGCCTGAGCGGAAAGAAGGTTTAGCGACCACGTAGCCGCGGCGGCGCGGATTAAAGGGTCTAAATCGTCTTTTTGGTTTAATTCCCTCATCATGGTCTCCACAAATATCGAAATGGATCGGCAGCACTCGGTTTGCGAACTCACTTGACGAACGATTTGCGCATAACGATGACGACTAATCCTTCCCGCGGTTTCTTTATCCTCTTCTAAGGCGTCCTGCATACGCTGGAAAATTAGAAAGGCCGTCCCGGCATCATAACTTTTCGTAATTTGATGTGTATATCCTCCTTCTCTTAACTGATTAATGCTTGAGAACTTTGCGGATTTGGGTGACGATGAAACTACGCGATTCATCGATCATAGAGAACCTACACAAAAATGAAAACCAAACAAGATGGAAGGATAAAAACCCTGTGAGATGGATCGTTGGAAGTGATGATGCCGAAAGGAAAAGATATAAGTTCCCCCATGGAGATCCCCCTTTCCTTCTGATCCCCTCCCCCCACAAAAAAAAAAATTCACAAATCGCAAATTTATAAAGATGCAAAAATAGCTGCTCTAGAGTGGGAGTTTTAAACCCAATAATATAAACTTATTATACATAAGGGCTATTCCCTTAGATGCGCCTCGTTTTTAAGACGTTCGTAGGCGGCAAAGGAAAGATCGCACGCCAGGCGAACGGGGGCCTTGTGAAAGCGCCGGTTATGGAGCGCCTCAATAATGGTAGTTATTTGTTCCCGAATTTCTTTATAACCGCCATTCTCCTGCGAGAAGGACTCCCCCAGCGGTGAATCCATATCCGAAATCAGCTCCTCCGCGGGGTCGCCCGATAAATAGGATTGGATATTTTCCACCGACTCGACCTCGGCTTCTTCGCCGTCTAAACTAATTTTCTCGTCGGGAATCGCCTCCGGCCGGGCCGCGAGATCCGAAGCGGGGGAGAAGGAATCCTCTAAGGTGGTGATGGTGGTGTTGTTGGAGGGAATGTGCCGCGTTTGCGGCTCGCTTTGGCGCCGATTTCGCCGGGGAGGATTGGCCTTTCGCCGAGGCGGCGGGTTTTTCCCCGGGTTAGAGGAGGGCTCACGATTCCTTTCCCCCGCCGGCGGGTAGGGGCCCTGGCGGGGGGCGCTAAATATCTGAAAATCCTTCGCAATCTCCTTTCGTTTGAGGGACTTCAAAGTGATTTGGTTCTTCCGTACGTGAAATAAGTTCGTCATGTCCTCCTCCATCCGTGACGTGACGGAGGCCTCCGTGGGCCCTTTTCCTTTTTTTCGACCCTTCCCCGCGGCTGGCGGTTTGTGTGGGATTAAACTGGCAGCCTCTTTTTGGTTATTTTCAAAATAACGCAGCGCGTCCACTTGGAGAACCCCTAATCGCAAGAATGCTTCTTTTGCGCAAGGGGTTGGGTTTTTATCCGGGTGAACGTGCACAATTAATTGCTGATAATACTTTCGAATGGACTCGACCGACGGCGTCCCCCGCAATAAAATACGCGAGGTGATCAATGGGTCCAAGAGGGCCTCACACATATCATGATGGCGATGCGGGAGAGGGACGCTTGTGGGATTGCTCAAAACGCGGCAAATTCGTGCCATTTTAGCATATTTCGGATTTGTCTTTTCTAGGGATGTAAATAAATCCGAGGCGCTTGTCAAATCACCATTTTCCAAGCATTTATCGGCTAAATATTCCATATTTAGTCTTACATTCGTCTAGAAATTACATGAAATGAAGCGATTTTAGACTGGTGAGGCTTATATATATATATATATATATATATATATGATAAATAAATAGAAA